TGAAAAACATAAGTAGCTGGAAACTATATTTAGCTTGCCGTATCAGTGATTTAAACGCGCAAAAACCGTTTCATCTGACGTTGAGCTCATTAGGAATTTTATCACAGCTGAATCCAGCTGGTTGACAAAATTTAAATGTCTATAGTTTCGATTTGTGTAAAGCTTATGTGAAACACATTCTATTCACCCAACAGAACAGTTATTTAAATTTTTTATTCCTTTACGTTCCATGTGGAACATGGAGCTTCAAGCTAAAGCTTTGAAGTTTCCGTAGCAGTGATGTTATTCTTCTATACGGGGTGGGGTTGCTAACCTCATACCCAACCTTCCCTACTTTACCGGTCTTACTACCAGCTTAGCGAGGTGTAGGAGTACGTCAGCCGGGGATTGAATCCCGGACCAACTGTGGCGTGGTTGGCGAGCGTTCTACCGCTGGACCACTCACACACGAACCGAATAGTAGTGAATACAATCAAAATTTGGTATCACCTCGCATAAAGAATACAAAACAGATCAAAAATCTGACAATAAATCCAATAGAATTATTGATCAAAAGGAAAATGCACACTCACTGTTCGTTTCATTACTTTGATCCTTTACTTTCTCAGTGTCCTCTTTTGTCTCCACCTTTTCGGGTCTAAAAGTTTAGAATTATATAAAAAATGTAAAGATGCGTGCTAACATGTGGAAGGAATTCTTTCCTTAAAAATCACAATGAATCAATGAAAAATCTTTATAACAGTGGGGAAATGAAATCAAAATTCCGATTTACTCAAGGGAGAAGTCTAGTCACATGATAACGAGCAGTACGCTGTAAGATGTGAATTGTTGCTAAGCGTATCTCTACATGAATGCCTAATCAGTAAGTTGGTCAACAAGATAAAACCAAGGCTGTAACTCACAGTTAATATTTATTTAATTTATTTAAACGCACAAGAAAAAACTTGGTACAATATGGCACCAAGAAAGATGCGCCACACAATAATAATAAAACAACATAGATTAAAAGTAAAAATGTAAGTAGAAAACGGATAAAGAACTTCATCTGGAAGGAAAACAGTCATGTTTAACAAGTTCAAACAGTATTCGTTAACTATCATCAGGAAGGGAAGAAAGAAGGAAATTGCAACACATTCGCCATTGATTATGATTCTTGGCCATATCCGATAACGTTTCGAGCTATCTCGCGGACCCCAACCAGGGAGTCGTGACACACCAACCGATGTTAATCTAGCACAAAAATCCTTCATACCACGACGCTACGTCATGGACTGACCACCCCTCCGCCTTTTCCATCCCGTCCCAGGGCTAGCGAACAGAGACCTGTACGGAAGCCTCTGGGATGACATTCGCAGCACATGTCCAAGCCACCAGAGCCGGTGTTTCCAGATGACGACACTCAATGAATGGTGATCTACACTGTGTTTAAACACACGCCGCCGAACCTCAGAATTACTCACGCGATGATGCCATCGAACGCAAGCAATCCTGCGGAGACAGCGATGATCGAACACGCAGAGTCGCCTCACATCCTCAGCTCGGAGAGGCCAGGTTTCACAGGCGTAGAGCAGCGCAGCCCGCACCGAAGCATTGTATACCCTACCTTTGACAGCCAGGCTAACGTCGCGACGGCGCCAGAGGTGGCTCAAGTTGATGTATGCCACCCTAGCTTTCATTATACGGTTGGAAATCTCATCCGTCACCCCTCCGCCAGCACTCACACAACTACCTAGGTACACAAACTTATCGACAACTTCAAGCGGTTCACCCGCAAGAGTGAGTGCAGGTACAGGCTCCTGCCAATCTTGTAACAGTACTTTGCACTTAGACGGCGCAAAGCACATACCATACTTACAGACACTGATCGCCAACTGATTAAGTGCGATTTGGGCAGCCTGCATGCTATCGCACAGTAAGACGATATCGTCTGCATACTCGAGGTTGAAAAGTCTATCTCCAGGTAGCAGATCTACACCACCTTCACGCACATCCTTCAGAGCTGACTCCAGAATGTCATCGATGGCAAAGTTAAAGAGAAATGGAGAGATTGGGCAACCCTGTCTAACCCCACTGTTGGTTGAGAACAGTGGTGATAGTTGGTTGTATGCCCTCACTCTACCTGAGGTGTTTCTGTATAGGGCTTTCAAGATGTTAACAAATTTCTCAGGTACACCTCTCTCTAACAGACAGTTCCAGAGCACAGTTCTGTCCAACGAATCGAAGGCAGCCCTAATATCAAGAAACACAACGATCGTTGGGCTCCAATATGTATAGCGGTGTTCCAACAACTGACGAAGGGTGAACACATGATCAATGCATCCACAGTTAATAGATCGAGGTGAACCCTTCACAGTGCAAGGAATAATAATAGTAGTCAGGATCTCGTTAAAATCGAGTACACTTGGGTTATGCATAGCTTAGATCCTCAACGACAAATTCGTGAACTATAGTTATTGATCAAATCGCAATAAAGCAGTTTGTTTCCCAATATCCAATTTTCTATTGTACAACTTGATAAATTTAGAATGTAGAGTAATAACAGCACACTCACTCTACACTCTACAGATTTATGACCGCGAGCTTATACCATTTACATTACTTGCTCAGGAAGGCTTCGTGTGCTTTTGGAAGTGTGTGGGCGGTTGTTACTTCCCGGCTGCCCACACCGTGGAAGTTGATTGGTTCTTCGGGAACCTGAAACAGAAAGTGTTGCGTGACCGCAGAGCCCAGGGGACAACTGCTTGAGGCCGGTCACACGCGGCCTGTTTTTGTGTGTTCTTTTTTGTTTGGTGTGTCTCAGTAGCATATTTATCACTTCTGCCCTGTGACACGGCAGCAGGAAGCGCGGTCGTTGTTAATCCGGGCCCCGACCGATCCGGCATGATATTTTGTGAATTTGTTTGAATCATAGTATTGGATTGGGTAGCTGCTTTTTGTCTAACCGCTATCCAAACAACCTTTCTGGCATGGTAGGACCTCAAGCGACATAAGTCTCAGCCAGTATGGCTTGTTGGATCATTGCGGTGTCCAAGCCCAACCACCACGTCATTGTAGCAGCTTTCGGTCGGGACATTACTTGCTAACCCTGACATATCCTTTTCAACTTCAATCGACGTAATAAAGTTGTTGAATCGATCAGTTAATATTATTCAATTATGTTATCCGGTCAGTCTTCATTAGAAATGCAAAAAAGTGTCACTAATGAGAAAAGTTAAAAGTGAATTACTATTTGACAAATCTTCAGGATTCTTTATTACACAAGTGAATGAATAACATTAGAAAAATCCTTACAAGTTATTGTACTTAATAAATTAACTCACTCGTTTGCTTTACGAACGGAGAAACGCAGAAAAGGAAGCCTATAAATTTCATTGCCGCCTGTAGAATCAGGAAGCCGTGCAAACAGTATATTTGAACTCTCTTCTTGACTGGTTCCAACGAATAAGTAGTCTGAATTTTCCTCATTACCATCATTTGATATCTTAGGCAACTGCTTTTGAACAGAAGTTTCACCCTTTTCCAGCTTTTTTAGCATTCGCTTTAAAATTTTTGCAAACGATTGGTTTTCTAAGTTCAAAAGCGGGATAGCGTCCCGACAATCTGGAGGAACATCTACATAAGCAAGTAGTGCTTCCATTGTTATGTGATGCGTGCTAACTAAAAAAACAAAGAAAGGTTTGATTATAAGCATGGACTAAAAAACAAATGTGTAAGGTATATTGAATATTAAATCCTAAGAGGATTGGATATTTTGATGCGACAAATGTTCCCCAGCATTTAAATGTGGTTGCGCTATGTCGTGAATTGGCATAAGTTAGAGTGCAAGAACCATTGAATCGGATGCCAGTGGCTCAATGGTCTACGAGCTCGCCTTGTAACCAGAAGGTCCTGGGTTCAAACCCCTGTGAAGGGTGCGTACAGATGAAGAGTCGAAACAGCTGTCCGGTACTCCTAGGTTTTCCAGTGGTTCCCTAACTGATGTCAGCTAATGATGAAATCCTCCATGTAATCTACTTGTCCCACATTTCATTTATCGTTCCAATTCCAGTGTTGTAGACAGTTTAACCAGAAACTTAAGTTTATAACACGTTTGACAAAAGGTATATATGCTCAAGTAACAGTTTGTACACTAGTGTGAATATTCATCCTTTATCTGATAAGAGAATTCAGAATTTAAATAACCAGAGGAGAAAACACGTTTTAGGGACGAAAGATGCAACTTCGCACGGAAGTCCTAACAAGAGTTGCTACACTTCGAAACTTGCAAGAAAACGACACAAGTCGATATTAAGGAGAACAGAATGGAGATTAGCGAGAGTTCTCAACCTATGAGAGGTACAGAGCACAGCCGTAATGGCATGGATTTTTAAGCAATTTCAATTGTAATTCCATTATGGGTAAATTTTTATTTTGATAGAGTCTCACAGTGTTATACAGTAATATTTACAGTAAATATTACTGTATAACACTGTGAGACTCTATCAAAATAAAAATTTACCCATAATGGAATTACACTCTACCACAGTGCCCAAGTTTTATTCTTATATCAATTTCAATTGTATTTTTAGAAATTAGGCACAAGCTTGAATAGAATTTGCCGAGACTGTGATACTGTCCCAACGTCTGGACTGAAGCAGATGACTGTTTTGGGGAGGTAAATAGAGAAAGCAGAAGAGAGAAGCCAGTCATCTTAATATGTAGTACTCACCAAACACCTGGATATTAGTGCTTTTGACAATGGAGACAGGCGGTCGGACTTTGTGGTTACTTAGGTCCAAAACAGGCTTTAACACCGTGTAATCCTCCAGCATTCTGCAATATATGTACACCATTCGTTTGGAATTGGGGCACGTAGCGTGAATTACACTGAGTGACTAAGATCATGAACAAAATAAGTGTAACCCTGACCACTTTCGGTTGTTACTCAAATATGTGATTAATGACATTAAAATTTCAATAAACTTGAACTTTCGGAATTCAACTGACAGGCGATATACTCCATGCACTACGACTATTGTTACTTGATAGCATTTATTTATGGAATATTCAGAATAGTAAAAACTACTTCAATCTCTACTGCTGTTTGGTAGGTTAATGAACACAGCGAACAATACCTTCGCTGAAACGTCCCCTCAATATTGCTGACAGAAACTACAGATTCTGGCGCAGTTCATTCAATGATTACGTGCTACCACTGTACAGTAGAAATCGATTTCTACATAAAATTACAATTTCTACAAATACACATACTATTCCGTTAACCAAAATTTGGCCGCTTTCATATTTTACGGCAACAGTAAAGAATAGACACCAAAGTCGAATGACCTAGAATCTGTCAATTATATTCCTTTAGGTGAAAATTAGCATTTGTACGAAATGTATGTTAAAAAACTGAATTATACAGGGTACATAACTCTAATATGCTGTAAAATCGGGCCCCATTTTCTCTTAGGGCTGTTTGTAGGCATTTGACTTTGATGTCTATTCTTTACTATTGCTTATTTTACTTCTAAATTTGTATTCCTAAGGTTCTGCTAGGCCCGCATTTTTCAGGGAATAAAAAGATACTGTGATTCCACTTAATATAAATCAAAGAATCACCCAACAGATGAGTGGCGGTTAGTACAACAGTTACTTATAAGTAAAAGTTATTAGCAGCAATGATTTGGATATGAAAACTAAGCCACTGTTATTTAACATTACCTCAAAATGAAGCTAAGAATTAAACTCCCCAGTGTGACCTTTAATCACGCGGATCCAATTAAATTACGCGCGGTTCTCAACAATAGATTAATAATTCTTTAAACACAT